TAACCTTTACTAAATGCCAATTTTGTCATGTCAGTATCTATTTATAAATAATTAATGAAGGAAAATTTAAGGTTTGATATTTACCATAGCTTTTGAGATCCTCCAGTGTCTTTTCAAAACTATTTCTCCAGTGATAATATATTATCAATATTATACATGAAGTTAACCTCCTCTATATTGATCTCCTAACTATTCTCTGAATGTTCCTTGAATACTTTTGCCTTATCTGGAATGTCCAGCAGCATATATATTCCTTACTTGGAATGTCTACCCTCTTTCTGTCTATTACAATATCTATCACATCTTTTTCAAATTTTATTGCCCTCTGTGCAGGCTTCCTGATTATAAATCTCATGATGGCCATAATTGATATATGACATCTTGTTTTATCATTTATCATTTTATGTAGTGTTAGTCTTTCCAAATAAATTGTAATTCCTTTGACATTTGGAACTGTGGCTTATTATTTTTGTATACCATTGCATTTAAAAAAGTGATTTTAAATGCATATAGTTAATAAATACTGATTTTTGTTGACAATTTTTAATTTACCTAACTCTATTTTTAAGGTTGATATTGCATGCATTTCTTTGAGAATAATTTACAGAGGATATAGATTTACCATGGCTCCACTTCTTAGTCTATGGGTTAAAGCTTTTTCTTACTTTGAGAATCTATCATGAAGGGGGTGCCTGGCTGGTTCAGTCAGAAGAGCATGTGACTCTTGATCTTGGGGTTGTGAGTTTGAACCCCACAAAGCTGGGGTGTAGAAATTACTTAAATAAAAAAAATCTATTATGAAGGTACTGGCATTTTTTCAACTATTCAACCCTAATTCTAATACAAAAAGATAGTTTATTGATTGATTTATAAGGAATGTCATTATTTAATCAATAATGGCCCTTATAAGAAATGAATCTATGAAATATTATACCCTTCACGGTTTTCTTTAAAGTTATTATATCTATTCCAAATACATAAAAAAGTAAAACATCAAAATGAGATTGTTCAGCATCAGTGAATGCCATTTTATTTTCAAATTCCAGTCCTAAATGGAAATTGTAATTAGAAATGCTTATTATTATTTTTTCTAAATGAAATAAAGGCCTCATATTACTATCCACTTTTATTTTTTTGTGTGTAACCAAAAATGGAGGGATTAACTAGGTGGTATCAAATGTATCAGGCCTGTCCACTTTTCTCTGAGCACAACTTTTGACACTACAAAACTTTAATTTTCTTCTGACATTTAGGTCCAAAATGAGACTGTTCGAGGTGGCTGTGGGTCAAGAACGATTACAAGAAACTTTGGATGTTAAATCACTAGAGCCATGATTAAGACATGACCTTAAATTTTAGTTCTCCAGGTTTTTCCTAATATGCACATGTTTTAATGTATCTGTAGAGGTCAATTAGAGCAAATCTAGCCTTTGGGAAATATGTATTTTCTTTATATACTTTAATACCTGAATTATAGCAATGTGTCAAGTCACCAAAATGTCCATGAAAAATATGGTCTTGATTAATGGGTGAATTGATAGTTTTTACTGAATGAAAAATTAACCAAGTATTTTAATACAAATTAACTAATTAATTTCAGGCTCAATTTCATTTTATTACAATGAATAGGTTATTTATTATAACCATCAGCAAATCAGTGTAAATTTATCCAGAACTATATTTAACATATAAAGTGCTTACATCCTTCAAGTTTTGTCTTTTCTATAAGAAAAGCAAATTTACTACAAAGACCAAAGATGGAAAGTATTTAAATAATAATTGACAGACATTTCTCAAACTGTCTGATATTCTTAAATTATTTTTAGGCAATGAAGTCATTCCACAATTTGATATTGTCAATAATGTCAGTGTTCTATCCATACTGTACAATAAGCTCTTGGTAAGTGTTTATGCATTGTTCTGCCATGTATTCATATTTTATCAATTTAATTAAAGGAGAAACAGAAGTGAGGTTGATGAGCCTTCACTTTTAGAAATTTACTTTTAAATAGGTAGAGAAATTAATATAATTAGCTATTATGTAAGTTTCATTCGTTTAATGAAAACGCCTACTGATCAAAGATACTTATTTGTTGATACCATAGAGGAGGCTATTAAAGAATGTTTTGTAAAGTTATTGATATTTTACTCTTGCTTTGAAGATAGGCAGCCATGTGGACATGTGAGAAAGGGAGAGAAAAGCAGAGGAAATAGCTTGAGTGAATCCATGGGGGCAGGAAAGTAAAAGAGTCCATGAAAAAGGTCAGGGATGATTCATTGTGGTTGTCTGTAGCTGCAGAGCATTGGGAAAGAGTAATTGGAAATAAACTTGGAAAGGCAAGTTTTCTTTCAATTAAAATTTGTATAATAATTAACTAATTGGGCTAAGCAAATCCACTTTGAGGACTTTTGAAGCAGGCAGGTGAAATTAAACAGTTTTAGAAACTTATGCATGCAGAAGCCTGAGAAATACTTCATGGAAAGAGAGATTGAAGAGATAAAAGTCAGAAAAAGAAGTATAGAATCTGATATATCACTATCTCAGATTAAAATAAACATCTCACATTAAAATTAATGAGTACATGTATTAGGGGAAAAGTGTTGGAAATAAATAAGAATGCAAGCAAATGATATTTCAGAGGCTGTATCTCCAAGACTTGAAAATTGATTGATGATGCCCCAAAATGGACTATGAACAGCGAGCAACTTTTGGTGGAAGGGAAATTAATTTGGTTTGCACTCAGAAAGTTTGAAATTAAAATATGCTATCCAACTGAATTCTAGCTGAGGTTGGAAATCACAGGATTAGGTTTGGAAAAGCACATACTAAAGATCCAAAGAGAAAAGGAAATGGGGTAATATCTTAAAAGAGAAAGAAAAGGGAGGAAAGAAAGAAAAAGTGGAACAAAATGGCAATTCCCTATTTATTTCCAACCATATAATGTCTTTTCTGCCTCCTTCCCTTCTATCTGTTAGGTATGCCCATATCTTCCCCAATTTATAAAACCCCTGACCACATGCCCAGAATTGTGGATCCCCAAAACCTCAGCCATCTCTTCATATTCAAGCTTACTGTAGGAACAGTCTTAATTTCCTTAACTTACGCAATTTGCCTCTGTTGACCCCATCACACTTAAACTAAATGCACCTGAAGGATTAGTTACTCTTCAAAAGGAAAAGTCCTCATTGGAACTGACCTTGTTTATATCTTTTGGATAACTCTCTTGCCCCTTGGTTCTACTAGTTTTCTTCCTATTCTATCTAACTTCTGTGCTTTTCTTAACCTATTTCTCTCTGAAATATCAGACTGACTTGACCACTTGTTGACCCCTATAATGTGCCAAGCACTCTTTGAGAATTAAGGAATTATGAATAAAAATAGGGCCCAGACTGAGGGGAGAGAAGAAAACGATGTAAGCCAACCTGTTTCCCAAAGAGGTATCCCGAAAAAGAAGGAATTTATTATTTAATGATGGGGAGTACAAGGAAACGTATTTTAAAGAGCTTAAACATGTCCAACAAATCTTCCTTGATAAATATTTTCTTCTTTTCTCATGTTTTTGATTTTACATTACATTTCTTTAAATGTTTTCAATATAGTTAAGTTACGTTCTGAGTCTAATTCCATTTTTTGAAATTTTGTGGGTCTGTTTATCGTTTTGGGTGTTTTAGTTGACTCTTGCTCACAGTGCCTTATTTCACCATGTTTTTTTTATGACAGAATATGAGTTTAGGTTGAAGAGAGCTTAATTTATAAACATATTGGGCAGTGTGGGCCAATGATATAGTTCCTCGGAAGGGGATTATGTTTGTCCACCACTTAGCTGTGAGCCCTACCTGGGGCACTGCTTTTTTGTTTAATTTCTCAGCTTGAGGTTCCCAAAGAACATGTGTTTATAATTAAATTTCCAAACCTGGGATATGGCAGAGTGTGGTTAATCTATTTAAATAGAAACATTTCCCCCCTCCACAGGCCAGGAGAGTCAACTGTCTTTATCACTGCCCTTTTGTCAGTAGGCTGATTTATTCTATACCCTTCTCATACTAAGGGTGAATTTTATTCTGCTCCAGTGTTATCTAGTGTTCAATAGCACCCACTTTTATAGACAAGTTTTGACCCCATCTTTATGCAGTCTGTGCACCTTTTGCTTACTATAATCCACAGATTTCTGGTATCACTTTATACTTTGATTTTTAGATTTTTCTTCATTTTTCCCCCCCTTGATGCTCCATTAATTTTCTGAAAGCTCAGCTATACGTATCTGGAAGTAAGGGATGGAGGGATAGGTTTTGGAATGTGGTCACACTATCTCGTCTACCATATTATTAGAAATACAAGTCTTTCAATTTGTATTAAAATATAATTCTAACTACCTTCTAAAATTTTAGAATGTTCAGCTATTTTATTTCAAATTTGACAACAAACTCATTGACCATCTCCTCTATTTTATTACCATTGTCCTGGTTCCTTCACTTAATTTATTTATGTTGTCAAAATAGTGTTCATTCACATTTCTTATACAATGTTTTTCTTCTCTTCATGGAAATATTTTAGTAGGTAATCAAAATGTAGTTTATGTTTTTATTGTTATGACAGTGTAGGATATACTCTTTCAAACAAGGCTGCAAATGTTGGGCAAACATTTTTTGTAGTTATTGCCCAATGTGGTAACTAGCACATAGATAACCAAGAATGTAAATATGGAAGTGAGTATGAATTCACTCATTTACATGGCAAACAAATTTCAACATGCTTTATTAAATAAGTCCTGTATTTGGTCTGGTTGTGAGTTGCATACTAATGTAACAGACATAATGTTGTTAGATTGTATTTTATAATTAGAATGTATTTTATAAAACTTTCATTTCTTTTTACAGGTAATAAAAATTTACAGGAAAAATAATTGCTGTTTGGATCATGTAGTTAATAGATCATGTAATAAAATCTTAGAATTCATGTTGAAAGCCATACTTAATTATGATTTAAATATTTTTTTCAGCTCTTCTTCAAGTGACAATTTCACTTAGCAAAGTAGAGCTTAGTGTGGGCGAATCTAAATTCTTCACATGCACAGGTATGTATCTGTACAAGTATTTTCAGATGATAACTTGTTTTATGCTTTAATTATTTAATATTATATACTGGCAAAATTTAGATGGTGAAAAACAATTCTCTGAAAATAAAACCTTATATTATCATTGGGCTTTGAGGTTAATAACTATATTTTGCATGTTAAAAAGTATGTATTTTATTTCTGTTAATTTCAAGTTATTAATTTTGACTGTCAAACTAGCTCATTTATTTTGAAAATAACATTATCAAATGTAATATATGCACAATAACTTAAATAAATTCAAATATTATTCCTGTATAAATAGTAATATTAGGATGAACGTAAGTATTATAACTGAATTATCTTTGTAAATATGCAATGAATAAATTAGATACGGCTCACTGCACTGTAGTGACACCTGAATGAAAACTTTGGGACAAAGCAAATCAAATCCATCCTTATGAGAAGTGAATTTAAAAAAAGTAGAGATTTAATCAGCAAAACTTTTGCAAGAATTTTGTGACTATTAATCAAACTATCGTATATCATAATACCTGTGGGAAATTTTATGGACCTCATTTAGTTTAATCATGCACATGCAGTATTTTTTCAGAAGACATTTAAATACTTAAGCAACAAATTCTAATTCAGAGTACTGTAGAGCTCACAAATGCACATATTCGACTTCTATTTATATTCATCAAATTCATTTTTATGCATACAAGCCTTCATACCTGAAGTTTTAAATAATATTCATCTAGAGCCAAAATTACTTTTTAGGGTATTTTAAAATTGTTGGTATTCCTGATTATGCTTAAGTAACACAAAACTGGATTAAAGTAGGCATTTCTGACATAAAATGCATTATACAAGTCTTGAGAATTACATGGCTTATTTAAATTATTACTAAAATTAATAAAAATAGAAATAGTCATAACATTTATAAATCACATATACCATATTATAATACACATACTATAGATATTATATATGTGTAATATCACATTTTATGATAAACTAATAGAAGCCATGATTCTTCGTATGTTTGCCTTCCTAAAGGTCTGAATTGATAGGTCTGTGGATACCTATTTTTGCATATTGACAAATAGAAAGGCAGAGAGCAAATGAGATACTGATTCAACATCATTTATTATGTCAGCAGAGCTTTGGCATAAGAATGTAGATCATTGTTTTTAAATCTCATCCATATTTTATATACACAAATGCACACATGCACACACACAGCTCAATTGTGTCACATATTCACAGAACAATGAAGTAGTTTAAAAATGAATTTTGAAAATGAAATTGTTTTTCCTGCATTTGCATATCACAATGATTTAGGATATATAAGTTATATAATATTATTACCTCTGTAATAGGTCAAATTAAGACATAATTTAAAATTTAAAAGAATTAATTAACATCATTTAGTGTACTAAGTTTTGCTGGTAAAATAAGGCAAAATAATGAAACATTTTCTTTTCCTTATATACAAGAGCCATACTGTTGTCATGTAAGTGGCCTTATATATATGAAATAGAGTAGTAAAACAAGATCTAAAAAAAGATGTGGGAAACCCCTGCAAATCAGAATGCTTTCATGTATTTTTCCTACTACAATGCTGACCGAATTGCTATGACTTTGAAGTTTCCTGATACACTAAAACATAGACTTCTAAACTCAATAAAATAAATGTCTTAAATTTACACTATCAGGTGGTCAGACCCTCAGCTAATAAGAGTATGTCATAAATAGCAAATGAATTTGTATACCACATTTTTAAGAAAATAAAAATTTTACTGTTATTTATCAGTATCTCCAGTAGTCTAGTCTTAATAAAATAACATGGGAAGTTTCACTGGAAATCATTATTTATTAGAGATGTCATAAAAAGAGAATCATGACTGATTGCTCTATGAAAATCCAGTATAAACTCTCCATGATAATGAAATTTTATACCATATTATTAAGAAAAAAAATTGTCCAAAATATTTCACAGAATGTCCAATATAATTTACTGTATAAAATGAGTTTTGTACTGTTCAAATTTAAAGTGCTGCTCATTTAAATTATTCGTTTGTAACTTCTCTAGGGAGAGGAGAATCAAAGCAAATATGTCCTGCAAATGAGTCATCCCATAACCACTACGGTTTTATGGTTCTGTCCAGAAAGAACTGAAGATAACATAACTAAGATCCATTTAAGATTTAACTAGACTGTCTTTCATACTTTTTGCTCAAGCATGTCTAATTTGATATAGAAAGCACAATAATTTGTTTCTAAAGCCCCTTCTTGAGGAAAAAATGAGAAGGAACAATGTTTTTCAAAGTGGTCCTGCAGATGTTAGTTAACTTTATGCATTTCCCCCTGATAATTTTGAGTTAATAGTATATACTGCTTCCACAAATTATCTCTCAAGTGATTAGGTGAAATACGTCCTTTTGGTGAGTAAAAGCAAACATTGGAAGCTTCAGCTTTTACGAAGAGGATAATAACCTGGATTTTGAATTGAAAAAAATAAATGTTTACCCTGTAATGATTTGGTTGTAATTGCCTAGCAGTATAAGTATCATTTCAATGCATTCTAATTATCATAGGATTAAATAGTTAACAGTTTTAGATTAAAATGATGAAACTATTCATTTCAGTTGAGAAAAGAGATTAGGGCTCCTTTTTAAAAAATAAATTAGCTTTATCTGTACAAGTTTAACAATTTAGGAAATTAATTCCAAATTCGGTATTATCAAAGCCAAAGTTTTATTTTGTATAAGATTTACATTGTTATAAGCTTTGCTTTATTGGAGAAAAAAGTCCTATCTCCTGACCCTGGCAAAGAGAATTGGGAACAGGTAAAATCATGTTAGTAATCATGTTTCTCTTCAGATATATCGATCACATTTAATTTATGTCTGACTCAGTGGCCAACGCAGTTTCATAACTTAACTGTAGTAATAATTCATAGATTGCTATGGTAAAGTTTCAGCTATCAGAGCTTAAATACCATACTGTCAGTTTCCTGTAGAACTTTTGGGTTTTGCTTACGCAAACGGGACTGAATTCTCAACGTTGGATAAGTAAAGATGAACATGTGTGCTAACATTTGTGTTTACTTTCAATTTTGTAAGATTTTTCAGACTTCCAGCCTTCTCTTATTTACATTTTTCCCCAAATTGTTAAAAGTTGTCACATAATAGTAAATGTCAATGCCAAAACAAACATTTGAAACATATTTTCAAACATTTATTTTCCATGGCTATTTGCAGCAATTGGTGAACCTGAGAGTATAGATTGGTATAATCCTCAAGGAGAGAAGATAATTTCAACACAGAGGATAGCAGTGCAAAAGGAAGGTGTTAGATCACGATTAACCATCTACAATGCAAATATAGAGGATGCAGGGATATATCGTTGTCAAGCAACAGATGCCAAAGGACAGACACAAGAAGCTACAGTTGTTTTGGAAATTTACCGTAAGTCATGCATTTATTAGTTGATTGAAATGTGGTTGTATAAAAACTTGAACAAAAAAATGCATTTGGGGCACCTGGGTGGTTCAGTCAGTTAAGCGGCTGCCTTCAGCTCAGGTCATGATCCCAGGGTCCTGGGATCAAGCCCCACATTGGGCTCCTTGCTCAGCGGGGAGCCTGCTTCTCCCCTGCCTGCCATTCCCCCTCTTTGTGCTTGCTCTCTGTTTCTTTCTCTCTCTAGCTCTCTCTGTGTCAAATAAATAAAATCTTTAAAAAATGCATTTAATTAAAACTAACACTCATGAAGAACTATGTGCTAGGCAATGTCCTAAGACCATTACAAATATCAGCTTATTTATACTTTACCATAGTGCATCTCTAAAATAGAATAGATAATAGGAAATAGTTTATTATAAACACATAGATGGAGCCAATTCTGTTGGTTAAATAAGAGAGATGAAAATGTTTTAATATTCTCAAGCCATTAAAAATCTGTTGGGTAACTAGAGAACAGTAGATTATTATGAAATTTATAGGGAGTACTTTTTCACACTAAAATAAAAGGTCGGGATGAGAACAAATGAAATTACATGTATGATAGCAGCGATCAGTCTCAAATGAGAATTGAGGAAGGGTCGGTGAACAGGAGTAGACACAGAAAAAACTGAAGACTCATCTAGTGGAGAACAATATCTAGCTGGATTCTTCACCATCAGAATATTCATTAATAAAGTTTTCCACACTTACACTTCATCTTATGACTTGAGATTGACTGCCTTCTACATTCCTTCCCTCTTCTTACATTTAGGAATCATTAGCCTTTTTTTTTTTTTAAGATTTATTTATTTATTTTTTTTAGAGAGAAATGTCAGGGGGGCAGACAGAGGGGGAGAGACAGTCTTAAGGAGACTCCTTGCTGAGCAGAAAGCCTGACACAGGGCTGAGCAAGGAGCCTGATGCAGGGCTGGATCATGACCTGAGCCTACACCAAGAGTCAAACACTTCACTGACTGCACCACCCAGGCGCCCCAGGAATCATGAACCTGTTTAAGAACACATTAAAGCCTATTGACTCCCCAGGCTTGAAACCAGGCTCTATTACTTACTTTTGTGGCTTTGAGCAAATGCCTAACCTCTCTGTTAGGTTATAGTGACAAATATAGGTTATAGATGACTTAAGACAAAAACCTCTTTGGTTTTGTCATCTATAAAATAGATATAATAATATTACCTACCTCATATGTAGAGTTGTTTTGAGCACTACATTAATCAATATTATATAAAGTGCTTAGAACAATGCCTTATAATTAATATGTGATAGTATTTCTACCCATATAAATGAAAAATATGTGAAAAACTATAAAGATTTTAAAATACTAACTCAAGGCATCTCTTCCTGACAGCTTTATTATTATTATTATTATCATTGTAGAAACAAGACATGAAAAAAAAAGGCAAAGCATTCCCACAGCATGACTTTCCCTTTGATGCCCAGTGCAATTTGTTGGCACATTACTGCCCTCATTTTTCCTGACTTTGCCCTTACTCCTGTTAATTTCAAAGTTCCTTAAGAAAAGATAGTGTAACTATTTATATGATCCCTACAGTACCTATTTCATAAATAGAAAAAAAATAAATTGAAGTGATCATTTCCTAGACATAGTATTTGGAAAAATTTTTCATTACTTTGAATGATGAGAAGGAAGGTGCCTGGTGTTTTGTTTGTAAACTAAAGAAATGGCTTTTTTCCCCACAAGAACAATGAATTGCTTTTGTGAAAATTTCTCAACAAGCATAAATATCCAAGTTCATCCATTCATTGACACACTTATTGGGTGTCTACTAATGACAGGCAATATTCTAAGTCTTAGACACTCAGTAAAACAGAAAATGTCACTGGCCACTTGGTGCTTATTATTTTATTGAGTAGAGAAAGACAAACAACGAATGAACTTAGAAAAACACATGGATGTTAGATATACATGCTATGGAATTCTGTAGTGAAGAAAGTTAGTGCGGTAAAGAGAGGGAGAGTTGAATTGGGAAGGGGGAAGGTTATTTTATCTGTGAAGGTGGAGCAGAAATCTGAAGGAATTCAAAAGAGCACAAGGCCCGAGGATGAGAACAAACCTGGAGTGTTCAAGGGATTGCGAAGAAGACGGTTTGTCTGGATCACAGGGACTAGGAAAAGAGAGAACTTGGGATCAGAGTTGTGGGGCTGATTCCAGTTCACACAGGACCTAGTATGGCATTGTGAGGACTTTGAATTTAATTCTCAGTGAGATGGGAAGCTCTCAAGTAGAGGAATTATGTTATCTGGCCTAAGGTTTTAGAAGATCTAGAGTTAACTAATGATTTTATCATCTCATCAATCAGCACATATTTTGGAATATGTTACCGGGAGAAGTGAGCAATAATACTTTTGTGGTTTGTTTTACTTTCTTGATACAGAAAAACTCACTTTCAAAGAAGTGGTATCACCTCAAGAATTCAAACAAGGAGAGGATGCGGAAGTGGTTTGTCGAGTTAGCAGCTCACCTGCCCCTGTTGTCAGCTGGTTGTATCATAATGAGGAAGTCACCGCTATTTCCGACAGTTAGTATTTTGGTAACTCCCTAAATTATATGTTCTCATAATATTGCAATTTTTAAAAATACTGAATCTACCTGACTGCATATAGAAATTTTATTTTTTGGATCCCAAGCATCAAACAACTGTTTTGAGAACCTTACAGCTCTAAAGTAGGAGTTGGCAAACCACGGACCTCGGACTGCCCCCCTACTGTCTTTGTATGGTCATGAGATTACAGCCAAACCCGACGGTTACATAGTGTCCATGGCCGCTTTGGTGACAGGGTTGAGCAGCTGTGACACAGATGGTGTGGCCTACAAAGCCTGCAATACATATCATTTGGAGATTTACAGAAAAAGTTTGCTGACCCCATCCTATTCAAGAAAATTTTGTACAAACAGTATAAAGATAATAAGTAAATGAAGGAATCAGTCCTGATGCATTCAAATTCTACATGTTACAGTTCAAACATCATCCCCTGGGCTCATCTATGTAATCTTAAAATAATATCTATATGAACCTTGTTTATTACTCTGGCACTGTTCCTTCAAAAACACCTACATGTTCTAAATATTATGCTAAGGTGCATATGGATAATAGAAAAGTACATTCATTCAAATTGTCTTCATAATTTTGATTCAGACTGAGCTAAAATTCCAGAATAATATGACATCTGAAACTGAAAGCATAATTTGCTTACATTATGCTACTTTACCATTGTGCATTGGGAGCATTTTCAATTTAGAGTATTTTTCAATGCACCTGCATTGCAGAGCGTTATGAAATAATTCAATCTTTTCAAATACTTTCCATCTTGGATGATTCCATTGTGTGTTTCTAAGAGTTAAAACTTACAGCATAAAGGAGAGAAAGCATATAGTATCTATTTTTGAATATGTACAGAGAACATATCATAATCATGTTTAATAGACATTTTTTAAATTTTGAGGCAGTTTTTCTCATCTTAGCATTTTCAGCGCTTATCACTTATTGACTATCTCTCTTTTTTTCTATTATAATAAGTTAGTGAGAAATAATACTTTATTTCCTCTTATTTTATTTCAGGATAACTGCTTTATATTTCATTAACACATCACATGAGTACATTGTGCAATGTATTTTCAGCTATTTTTCCCTCAATAGTAAAGAAAAGGCAGTTCTTTTATAGCAGTTAGATGACAATGTCTAAACATTTTCAGATTGCCTCATCTTAGGCTTCAAGTGTACATCTGGTTTATTGTAAACCTTAATTACATGAAGGTTTTGAAATGAATTATAGTTTTTAAAAGACACAGAGAACAAAAGCCTCAAAGCAGAAATTGATAGTCAAGTGTGATGGTGATGGAGGAGCGCTCCTCTGTGCTACAACTCACATGTTTTCCCAGTATCCAGGGACGAGATGATTTGAAGCTGGAATGCCATTATGGCTCTACTCCTTTCCTTGGCCCGGAAGCTTTGAATTTTCTAACCGATCTGTATCTAATTCAGATTCTCTCCCTGTAAACAGTGGGTTATTATCACCATTTTCAACAATAGTTGTGAGTTTCAAATAAGACTTGAGGCACATAATAAATAGTTGTTAAATGAATGAATTAAATAATATTTGCATATATATCAGTTTCTCAACACAATGACATTTACCTTTCTCCTTCCCTCTCACTGAGTTTTTAAATTTTGAGAATCAGTGTTACCAGAATTATAAGCACTTGGGTTATAACTAGAATAAAAAAATCCAATGCAGGGGGAAGTGACTAGTCTAGAGTATGCATGAAACCTAGCTCTGAGTTGAAGGGAAAGCAAAGAAGAAAAATGACATAATTATATTTTTCCTTTTTAACTCTAGGCTATAAAGAATTTAAGTGAATTGTGAGGAAGGACAAACTTTTCTAACCTTTTAATATTGGAGGAACTCACCACATAGTTCATTGTTGAACAATTTGTACATTGATAATGGATTTATAAGAAATAATATTTTTCACCTGATTATACCTGATGGCCCCTTTATTAGAACTAATGGAATAAGATTAAGTTTATAACTATGAAAGGAACATGTAAGGGGACTTAGAATAATGTAGTGTGTCCAGGTAACTTTCTGAAGCCTTAATGTGGTACATGAGTAGTTTGCAGGCTCCAGATGATATAATGAAGGTTTGGAAATGTCCATCTTATTAGCCATGCTTTTGGTAGCTATGGCAGATATTTATAATTAAAATTCCAATAGGACATTTGAAGTGGAGGTTTTCCATGTTGCTTGTTGAAGGGAATCCATCTGCTAAAAAATCCAAACATTTAGGGAGTAAAGATGACATTTTGTTACAAAAATTGAATACCCCGATTGGAAGGGTATGCTATTGTAGATGCTCATTCAATGTCAGGCAGTTTGAAAGTTATCTCTAAAATATTCTAAATGCTTTGATCATTGCCCAGTGAAGTACCCTGTTTGCATCAAAAAATATGGATAAAATAATCTTGTTCAATATTTTTTTTTATGTTATCTACTTCCAGTATGAAAAATCATTCAATTTTTAACTAGTTGTTGAAAACCTAGTATATGCCATCTAGCACACTGGATGGTGGGTAGTCCTAGTTAACAAGATAAACAAGTTTATTGCCTTCAAACTGCTAATAATCTAGCAGAAAAAGATTAATAAAGAAACCAGTGAAAACAAGCAATACTGAGGTCTATGAGAAGGAAAGTGCAATGATAGAGGATGATAAAGAAAGAACTTCTCACCTAGTTAGGGCAGGGGAGGGTGTCCAAGATGCCCACTGAAGAGAGAAGTAACCCTTAAATATGAAAGGGTTAGCCAGGCAAAGAGTGGTGAGGACTCTTCAGGAGGGGAAAACACCATCTGCAGCGGCCCGGAGGTGAAAGACACCATGAATGGTGCTTTCCAGAAAATAGAATTAGTTCATTATAATGAGAATTTATGACTAAGTGCAACTAGAATACTTATACTAATAGATAAATGCAAACCAAGATTGATCATAAAGGATTAATAAGAGAGGAAACTGGAAAGGAAGTTTGAGCCAAGTCATTATGGCCTTGACATCTCTGCAAAGGAATCTGGAATTTATCCGAAGGGAATATCACTAAAGGATTTTAATCAAGGCAGTGACATGACCTGATATGAATTTGAGAAGGCTATTAGTGCTTCAGTGAGGAGAATGAATTGGATGGTCAAAGCAAAACTCCAGGCACTGATAACAGTTCAAACCCTAATGAAATAATTGCTGAAGGAGAAGGAGATTTAGACTAAGTAATGATAAAGGGGGAAGTGACAGGACATGGGGTTTGATTGGATATGCAGATGGAGGGAGATGGAGAAGTCAAGGATGACTCAAGGAATTTGACTTGGGCATATAGTTCAATGTAAAGACATGTGAAGACAGAACTGGAGAGACCATATGAGAAATTTCAGGTGGAGATAGTAAACTAAACTTTAAATTTACTGATTTTAAAGTACTTACAATCCTTCTCAGTAGCTATATCTGGTCTACCGTTAAACACTTTTATAGTCATGTAATGGCCTGATCTGAAGAAAAATTGTGTCTCAAAATATAGATGGTGCTTGAAGCCAAAAGAGTAAATGAGACCAACCATCAGTGGCTGGGGAATGAGAAGAAAAGAGGGCTAGAAAAAAATCTGTCTCTAGAAGCATAAAGCAGATCGCTTATTGAGTATTACTTTATTTCATTTATTTTTCTGAATGCAATAATGAAAACTTGGGTTTTAATAATTAAAGTTCTGTATAATTGAGAGAACAAATAATCTCTGATAATCAAATAGTTCTAATATCCATAATTATGTCTGATTGACTGAAGCAGTGCTTTCTTCAAATGTTTTCTGCCATTTGATAGTTTACTAACATCATTCCATGGACTTAACATACCTACCTAGAATTTGACATGTGATTTTCATGTAGTTTGTTTTCTGTTTAGAAACATCGATATGTATTTAGATTTAGCAGGTAACTACTGATTTCCTAATATTCTAATAGTTTTCTCCTAGCCGATAGAAGTAATATATTAAAATGGCCGTTTGAAACTAAAATTTTACAATTAGAAGAAACACTGATTTATTCCCATCAAATTATGTGTTATATGCATTCAAATTATTTTCCTTTTAATATCAAGTATTGCCTTCCTGATTAAAATAGTTCTTCCCCTTACTAGTTTTTAACTAAATACACTATAACCATTAAAGAACATTAGAGTTAAAGGATAATACATATTTTAGTAATTTAAAAATATAATATTATGGTGATCAAGGTATGATTATGTGCAGCCCTCTCTAAATTTGAACTTCTTAAATTGGTAATTGCTTCCCACCCTAATTTCCAGCCACATGCTTAAATAGATCTTTTTTTTTTTTAAAGATTTTATTTATTTATTTGACAGAGAGAGACACAGCGAGAGAGGGAACACAAGCAGGGGGAGTGGGAGAGGGAGAAGCAGGCTTCCGGCGGATCAGGGAGCCCGATGCGGGGCTCGATCCCAGGACCCTGGGATCATGACCTGAGCCGAAGGCAGACACTTAACGACTGAGCCACCCAGGTGCCCCTTAAATAGATCTTTTAATTGACCTTGAAACATTCTAAATTTCTATAAGTTCTGAGTTACTCCAGGACTTCTTGTGAGTTTAAATTTAAAATTTCTTGCAGATTCTTTTTCTCCAGGCTTTTCTTGGAGAAAAGGAAAATTTACCAGGGGAAAGCATCTTCATGAACATTTGTGTCTCTCTTCTTAGGGTCAACCTAAAGAAGAAATAAACATGATGGGAAAGCTGTGGAGTAGGCCCCCCTTGTCCACAGGGGATACATTTCAAGACCCCTAGTGGATGCTTAAAACCACAAATAGTTCCAAACCCTATACTGTTTCTTCCTAAAAAAAAAAAAAAAACACCTATGATAAAGTTTAATTTATACCTTAAGCATCTAATTTATAAATTAAGAGATTAACGGCAATTACTAACAATAAAATAGAACAATTATACAAATAGACTACAATAAAAGTGTGAATGTGGCCACTCTCTCTCAATTTAGCTTATTGTACTGTACTCAGCTTTTTTCCTTTTATGACATGACACAATGCCTAGGCGATGAGATGCAATGAGGTGATGCAGGGTTAGGCTACTATTGACCTCTGATAAAATGACAGAAGGAGGATCATCTGCTTCCAGACCACGGTTGACCACAGGCAAATGAAACTGCAGAAGGCAAACTGTGGGTGGGGTGGGGGGTGGGGGAGGGCTACTGTACTTCTTGAGCTGAAAATCATGTCCATTGCTTTATAATCAATATTTTCTATTTCTGGGATCCTCTGAATCTACATATTTCCACTCTTGGTTAATTACATCTTGCTTACCTATAGGAAGCATAATCCTCCCATAGCCTGATCACTCTCCTGTTTGTATTTGTAGCCCAAACTAGAACTGGTATGGCATTTAGGAATTGCATTAAGGACTCGCTATGGAAGATGAACTCCAAATCTGAATTGAACCCCAAACTGCCTGATATCATAGCAGTTTATTTCTCAGTTACACAAAGTCTGGTTGGCAGCAGGGGTAGGGGTAGGATTGTACCCCATGCATACATTCAGCACTCTAGACTGAGGGAGGCTCTATCTTTTTCTCATGTGGTTTCCATGTTTGCCCTAACCTATCAAACCAGCAGATAGGGGAAGAGCAGTAAACATTGGAATAGGTCCAAAAAGTAACCTTTAATGGTATAACAGTAAATATCCCAGAGATGAACACCTTAAACTAATGGCATTTCTACTTTACTAAAAGGTCCAAGGGTGTCGAGGATGTATCTCTCTTATTTACCAGAGTATCTCAAATACTGTACATACCAAATAAATGATGTTCAATGATGTATTAATTAATGAAACTGAAGATATTGCTTTTGCAACCTGTTTTAAAGTAGAACTAGAGGTCACACTGTTCTTTATTTGATAAGAAGGGAAAAGGTCTTAACACTGCAACAAAATTGTGATTATTAAAAACTCAGGCCAGACATTGTGGAAACACTGTCAGGTTGAGATGGTGCCTAGGCTAGCCAGATTATCTTAAGCAATCAACTAATGCATGCCCTGTAACAGCTTATTTTTAATGTATATTCATGTGCATATACTCACACCTAAGGTGGAATCTTGAAATAAAATTAAGTCTAATCTGTTCATTCCTAAAGTGGATTATCTGCATTTAGAAAAAAAAATTCAAATAAATTTGAGATATGGCCATTTTATATGTCCTCTATGTGACTTGAATATTATTGTACCATTTAGCTGACTCTTCAGAGTATGCAAAATTATTAGTTTAATTATTGTGTGAGGAAGGCTGTTCAATCAATTTTCTAACCCTTTTCCATACTCAAGTTGCTACATATTTGCAGTCAAAATGTCTTCGTGTCTGCAATATCTAATCTCGCAGCATTGTTCTTTTGTGTATCATTTCTGCATTCAAAGTACCAAGGGGAAAATAATAGCCTAAGCATTTTATGTAGAAATAAAGTCTTGAATGTGTTTTAGAAAAAAGGTGTAACAAGACAGTGTGGAGTGGAAAAATTGAAGCCATGAAATTACATTTTACTTTCAAATTTGAATTTGTTTGTTGATGAAAAGTTTGATAGTGTCAGACAAGTGCCATATTTTAACTCTTAGCCATTTAGAGCACACCGGACTCTGCTTTCAATTACTGATATAATTTCCTCCCCTTTGCTTACTTTCCAGATCGCTTTGCTATGCTAGCCAACAATAATCTGCAGATTCTCAACATCAATAAAAGTGATGAAGGTATATACAGGTGTGAAGGAAGAGTGGAGGCTAGGGGAGAAATTGACTTCCGTGATATCATCGTTATTGTTAATGGTAAGCAGAGAATAATTTGTACCAATTTTATTATTGCATGTTAGCAATATATTTATTTGTAGCCATGCAAATACAGCACTCTAATACACCTCTTCTCGACCTGGAGGAAATCTCCTTACCTCAGTGGTAGTGTCTATTACATTGTGTATAGCCTCAAGGGCAGGATCTGAGGCTTATTCAACACCATCTTTTTTTACAAAGAGTCTTGTAAGAGAGTAGTTGCCTTTTGCTGGCTTTGTAGTTGTTGAAAGAATGCCAAGTGAAACATAGTAAAGTATCATACCAGATTTTACTTTTAAATTGCATGAGTCACTTGTTGCTTAAACTAATCCATTTAACAGTTCTGTAGGTTTACTCAAATTTAAAGTTAATAATTGATTCCACAAGGAGATTAATAACTAAGTTTATGGCATCACAATGATATCTCTTCTTCCAAACTTGGCTTCTCCTGCTTTATTTCCTGCCTGTGTTAACATGACATTCTGTGAGCCCAGAAGATTTTTTTTTTTTTTAAAGATTTTATTTATTTATTTGAGAGAGAGAGAATGAGAGAAAGCACATGAGAGGCAGGAGGGTCAGAGGGAGAAGCAGACTCCCTGCCGAGCAGGGAGCCTGATGCGGGACTCGATCCAGGGACTCCAGGATCATGACCTGAGCCGAAGGCAGTCGCTTAACCACGGAGCCACCCAGGCGCCCGCCCAGAAGATATTTTAACTTTATCCTAGTTATCTCTATTTTGGTAATCTAATCTGTAAATGACATGTGTACCACATGTTTTTAACAACTCTCAAATATATTCTACCATGATGCCCTCTGTAGGAGTGCAGCCCTTTCAAATTGTTTTTTCTTTTTCTTTTTCTTGAATTGCTACAAGTTGTTTCCTCTACTCTCAGGCTCATAATTTCAACTTCTTCTCCATCCAGCCTCTTAATAGTAAAATTTGTCAATGATTCCCATTACCTTCAAGACAAAATCAAGACCACTTTTCTTGGCATAGGAAGCCTTTTATAATCACCAGCCCTCTTCCCTAACATTCAGTTATGAGCAGCCTATGCTTTAGCCATATGGAAATACTAGTAGTAACACTACACAAATGCACTTTTCTTTTTTCTTCTGTTTTAAAATAACAAGTTAGGAGTGCTTGGGTGGTTCAGTTGGTTAAGCGTCCGACTCTTGATTTCAGCTCAGGTCATGATCTCAGGGCTGTGAGATTGAGCCCCATGTCAGGCTCTGTGCTGGGCATGGAGCCTGCTTAAGATACTCTCTCTACCTCTCCCTCTGCCCCTTCCACTCTAAGAAATTAAAATAAAATAATAACAAATTCGTGATAACTATAATGACAGGACTCTATAAGCAGAATGTCATTTGTTCTTTTTAGAGTAGACAAAATATAAAATTAAGGAGTTAGCCACATGTTTCCTATGAGTTAGGGCAAGCATGGAGAAATAAATCTGTGTTTTCTTCTGTATCCTATCCCCATCCTGCCATGAGCTATCTGTCCAGTTTCTTGAAGACTGGAGAACACTAGGAATCTCATATAGATTTAAGACAGTTCATTGGCTGAGTAATATTCCATTGTGTACGTATACCACATCTTCTTTATCCATTCATCTGTCGATGAACACTTGGGCTCTTTCCATAGTTTGGCTATTGTGGACATTGCTATTATAAATGGGGGTGCAGCTGCCCCTTTGGATCACAATGTTTGTATCTTTTGGGTAAATACCTAGTAGTGCAGTTGCTGAGTGATACAGTAGCTCTGTTTTTAACTTTTTGAGGAACCTCCATACTGTTTTCCAGAGTAGTTGTACCAGCTTGCATTCCCACCAACAGTGTAAGAAGGTTCCCCTTTCTCTGCATCCCCGCCAACATTTGCTGTTTCCTGACTTGTTAATTTTAACCAGAAATCTTACTATTTGCAACAACATGGGTGGAACTGGAGGGTGTTATGCTGAGTGAAATAAGTCAATCAGAGAAAGACAATTATCATATGGATTCACTCATATGTGGAATCTAAGAAACAAAACAGAGGATCAAAGGAGAAGGGAGGGAAAAATAAAACAAGACGAAATCAGAGAAGGAGACAAACCATAAGAGACACTTAATCATAGGATACAAACTGAGGGTTGCTGGCAGGGGAGAATGGGAGGATGGGGTAACTGGGTGCTGAGCATTAAGGAGGGCACATGATGTAATGAGCACTTGGTGTTGTATGCAATTGATGAATAACTGGACTCTACATCTGAAACTAATGATACACTATATATTAATTAATTAAATTTAAATAAAATAGGAAAATATAAATAAAAATAAAAGTTCATTGGTCTTTCACTACCTGCAGCAAAGGTAGTTTGACCACAAAGTTCATGCTGAAAGAGAAAGAGAGTATGAAAACACTGCTATCTTTTTCTCTCCTTCTCTAAGTCTGTAATTAATTGAGATTTATGGATAATATAATGTAATAGACCAGACAGTATGACATGGAAACCAGGCAGGCTGGTAGAAATTGCACATGCGCATGGAGGAGGCCAAAGGGTCAGGCCTTCAGAGGGTAAGTTTTTCTTTTTTAGAAGTGCAGAGTCTAGTATTTATTACGAGTACCATAGTCAGAGGTTTTGACCTTCAACACATGGGGAAGATTTCAGTGCATGAAGAATAGGTTTAAAATGGAAGTATGTATCTATATATATATATCTCCATCTATTTCTATTACCAATAAGCATCTCTAAACTATTTGTCTATTGTCTACAGTAAACAAAGATAACTTACACTATTTAGTTTAACTATTGACAACTTTCTACTGTGCTTTATTTCCAAAATAATTTATGTTGGCATATAAAAGTGTATTTTGTCACAGACAAATCATTGCGCTGAGTGTTCTTTTATGAAAACGGGGATTATAATATTAGTTCTTAATGTAAAGTTGTGGAGGCAGTATATAAATATTTATTATTATATGTTATATGTATGTCAAATTATGCACATATTTTTGCACTAAAACAGTAACTCAAGTCTGATATTAAAAAGGAAGTGTTGGGATGCCTGGGTAGCTCAGTTGGTAAGCGTCTGCCTTTGGCTCAGGTCATGGTCCCACTGGGGTCCTGGGATCAAGCCCTGCATCAGGCTCCTTGCTCAGCAGAGAGCCTTTTTCTCCCTCTGCCTGCCACTCTCCCTGCTTGTGCTTTCTCTCTTTCTCTGACAAATAAATAAATAAATAAATAAAATCTTAAAAAAAAAAAAAGAAACTGTTAACTGAGTAGACATAGCATGTTCACTCTTCATTAACTATTTTGCTATTGTAACTTCTACCTTAATATATTTAATAAGTGTCCTAATCTGTTTCCATACTAGTTTATCTGTGGATGTTTATACATGATTATATTTATTTTGAAGGAAGCATTTTTTGGGTATGAGTGTCTTCAATTAACAAAGTTTGAATCTTCAAGTCCATCATGGTGTGCGCTCAAACTGGAATATTTAGTTCTGTATGTCTATTCCTATTATGTCAGGGTTCACAAGTAGATAACATGGGATTGTGTTCTTTTGTGCCACTCAAATCAATCACATAGGCGGTTTTCTGTTCTGTCTGCATCACACTGAGCCTCCCAAAGGCAAATCATTCTCCTTCCACATCCCAATTTCCTCTAACAGAATCAACTACAGATCCTAATCTGACCTTTGCTCGAACACTGCTTTATCTCCACTTCTTCTAATTAGTCACATTTTCCCTTTATGGTCACAAAACTCTCATACCTTAGAATTCCTGGCACCACTTTTCCTCAAAATAACAGTGTTCACAAAAATCAACCATTGATTTATTCCCCTTCTGATGCAGTTGGACCCTGTCAAGGGAATGCATTGACTAATTCCACCGGTTCGTCTGTGCTTTGCTCTCACATTCTGCCTTTACTTTAGCCAGAAAAATCATTCTGCTCCAGTCTTATTGACTCTTGTGCTGCTTACTGGAGACCAGCTCCTTTTAAATTTTGAACTCTCCTTAAAAGTATCCCCCTATTAGTTCTCTCATATAAAACCTCTTAAAGACATTTCAATGAAAAGTTCAAGGGGGCAAAAAATAATAATAAAAGCAATAGCTTTATCCACATTATCTTATCTTACCTCAGTGACAAATTTGACTTGCTCTATGACCTTTTCCTCAACTTATGTTGTAAGCCCTCTCTCTTAATTGCAAATGATTTTTATCCTGACTGATTTGGCTTTTATCCTGGACCTCCTTTACTTGTCTCCTTCCCCCTCAAGTACACTGGAATCCTGACCAAAGGCTCCAGGCAACTATTTATGGACATTTCCCTACTTCCTTGTAAAATCTTGGCTCTGGAAGAAGTTCTGCTCTTTCTTTTATTTTTTGCTCTTCGAAAACTTTTCCCTCACATTTCCTTTCTTCCAGTTCATACCCTTTTGTTTCAGTAATTAGTCAAAGGATATTTTTGCTAGGTTCCTCTGTGGTACCAATAATACTAAATGTTAGGAATATTTTTTTTTTCTTATCTCCCTCTATTACTTTCTTACTATATTTCCCAATGCCTTTGTATAGTTTTTCACAAATACTTATCTCTCCTCCCTTGAAGAGGTTATATGTCACTGCCATTGACATGTGGATTATGGTGCTTCCAGGGGAAGAGTTGTGCATCCCCACCCAACTGATGACAAGACTTCTTCTGGCCAATGGCTTATAAGCAAACACAGTATACACTATGACTGAAATCAAGTTGCTAGAAGAATCACATGTTTTTTATCATGTTCTTTCCTTCTGACATGAAACTAGCATGACACAAGAAGAGACTTCTCCTTCACCTTGGACACCATGATGAAGACAGGTGCAGCAGAGTCCCAGCTGCTCTGCAGGTGCAGACACATAACATAAATAAGAAGTAAAGTACAGGGGCGCCTGGGTGGCTCAGTTGGTTGGGCGACTGCCTTCGGCTCAGGTCGTGATCCTGGAGTCCCGGGATCGAGTCCCGCATCGGGCTCCCTGCTCA